GTTTTGATACCATTCTTTATTCATGGCAGTGTTTTTGGGCAGAATTATGAGAGAGCCCACTCCCTTGGTTGAAAAGCAACACCACACATGGATGATCTCAGGATGCTTCGCTGTTGGCACAACACAGGTCTCATGGTAGCGTTCACTTTTTCTTCTCCGAACAATCGATTTTCCAGATGTCCCAAACAGTCGGAAGATAGCTTCACCAGAGAAAATAACTTTGCACCAGTCTTCTGCTGTCCAATCCTTGTACTTTCTGCAGAATTTCAGACTGTCCTTGAGGTTTTTCCCTGGAGAGAAGTGGCTTCTTTGCTGCGACACCAGACACCAGGCCGTTGTCCAAAAGCCTTGGCCTCACTGTGCGTGCAGATGCTCTCACACCAACCATTCTGGAGCAATTTCCTTGCACGTGAGGCCATTTTGATGCAAAGCAATGATGGCTGCACGTGTTTCTTTGGAGGTAACCACTGCTAACAAGAACACAATGATTAGAAGCGCGTCTTCCCTCCTTTTATAGCAATCAGTCTGCTCTTACAATATAATTAGTATGATAGTGATTTTACCTGACTAGTACTCATTCACACGTGCTGTTGATATGATTAGTCAATTAATGTTAGCTTGTCATTTTGTGTCAGGATCAAAAAAACTGAAATTATTATTTTTTTTTTTTGTGAAACGTTAATTTTTTGGCCAATGAAGCTTTTAGCAATTATTTAAAATGCATCTGATCATTCTTCACAATAATCTAGAAACAACGTGAATGAACACCACAACAGTTTAAACAGCAAACTTTGCAAAACACAAAATGTATGTCACTGCCAAAACTTTTGGCCATGACTGAAGTTAGTCACTTTGAAGTTAATTTCCCAATTTGCAACAGCAGTCAATAATTCCTGAATCACATGGCAATGCATTCACTATAAATTAACAGCAGAAAGTGCATCATGTGTTCAAGTAGGGTGTATAGTTCAACAACACATTTAGGGATAGGAAAATGGTGGGCCACTGAACCGGCACTCAACAGGCAACGAGTATGCCAAATTTGAACTGTGACAAGTTGAATTCTAAACTTTTGAGATTATCAAATAATCACCACGCAAATATTGGCACATGACAAAGCAAAAAGCACAGGTGGCAAAACAGTAGCACTGAACCTTGTATCTCTTGATTGGCAGCATTGTTTTGTGTATTGGTTTGTGGAAGGATTTTAGTGAGGAGTGGGAACATCGAAGTTGTTTTGCAGTCTCATCTCTTTGAAGCCCTTCTTGGGTCCCTGCCATTGCTAATGGTAACTGTGGGATTGGGTGGAGCAGCGGGTCCCCCTGCAGTTACTGAGGGTGGCCCATTGCCTGGAACACACCCGTTTGGTCTTCTTGGAGCCCCAAAATTGGGATCCCGAGGCACAGGTGCAGCACTGTTATTCAGAAATACTGGCACAGTACCATTTCCTGTTGGACAGATAGTTAAAACGAAGATGACAGACTTAATCAACATATCACAGAGACACTATAATGAGTGTTCCAGCTATTACTCTAGTTTCATCAATAAGCAGACACTTATCAAAAGCAACTTACAGTATGCCAGTGGTAGGTACAAACAGGAGTGAGATCTCAGTAAATCAAATTTCTGAGATAGAACCTGCAACCTTCGTTAGCAGATCAGATCCCAATCCATTAAGCTACCACTACAAAATCAACATTGGTTACCTTAGTAGGACAGACTGTGTGAAGTACAAGTCATATTTGCTCACCTGTCTGTGCAGGAGTACCTGCATTTTGATTCAGTGGAGAAATTCCCCGCTGTTCTTTACCCTATTGAGAGCACAAGAGATAAGACACCATTGTGTTGACTTTAGTCATAAAAAAAAAAATCGCGCGAATATGAACGTGGTTTAGCGC